AAAATACACACCTACCAGATATCTAGCAAGAAACGATGGTGGATAGAAGACTGGTCCTGCAGTCACAATGACCTGAGTTCATATTACTATTAGCTGTGTGACCCTTAACCTCTGATTGCTTCAGTTTTCTTATCTGAAAAAGGCGGATGATCATAGCACCTACCCCATAAATTTGTGGTGAGGGTAAAAGGGAGGTAATATTTGTAAAGCTTTTTGCAAACCTATATGAAAGCAATATGTAAATGCTAATTATTATTATTATCACCTTCCTCATTAAAAGAATCAGTATATGATATGTCAGATAGGTAGTTCAAACAACGCATACCATACTGCATGTGTAAAGAGCAGTAGGAGGTGATTGGTAGGTTGGGTTCATCAGTAGAAGCTTCATGAAAGAAATGGGAAGGAAGCTGGGTACATGAAGAGGAGAGAAGGAAAATAAAGCTCCTTGAAGGGAGATACTATTTCCTTTTATTTTTCTATCTCCAACATATAGTACCTCCAACTCCTAATTGGTATTTAATAAAGCACAAGCTTTATGGAAGAGAAAATGCAAAAGATGGTTGTTTGTATGTGTATAATAATAATAATAACTCAGATTTATGTAGTGCTTTTCTTTCCTACACACACTATAAATGTGCTACATTAGTTTGCTTCCTGTTCTTCATATAGGCCTTTGTAATGGCTGACCACCCCTGCCCCCATGTCTGGAATTTCTAATTTCTCTGAATTCCTTCAGAACAAGAAGTCTTTCCTAGCCCTCCCCACCCCCACCCTCAGCCTTCCAGTCTGACATTAACATCCACTGACACTCTGTATACCTGTACGTACATAATTATTTGTATGTTGTCTCTCTTGTTGGAATATGAGCTTCTGAAGGGCAGGTGCCATCCTTGGCATTCCCAGAGCTGACCACGGTAATTGGTGCACAGAAAGTCTTTAATAAATGCTTGCTGATTCTAAAATTTTGTGAAGTACCTTTACATACATAGTCTCCTTTGATTCTTACATTAACTCCAATATAATATCCACTTATCTAGGGGCAATCAGCAGATCAAATTGAGGCTCAGAGAGACTAAGGGTTTACCCAAGGTCAGTCAATTTACCAAGTTTGTTTGCAAGGGTTCAAATCCAGGTCCTTCTGACTCCAAATCCAGTGCTACTGTCTGTTACACATGACACCTAGCTGTCATAGTTTCCAGTTAGCCTCTATTGTCCTTGAGAATGGATCCTGTATCTTACCTCTAAACTTTGAATCTCCTGAAGAGCTTACCTGACTCACTGCTCTGGGCTCTACAGTGGAGAATTATTAGGTTACACATTTAGAGCTGGAAAGGATATTAGAGGCCCAGAGGTCCCACGCCCTCATAGGTGCTTAATAAATGTTGAATGAATTAAAGAATTAATGAATGTTAATGTAACCAGATTTTCTGACTGTCCAAATCCCTTCCTCTGCCCATAAGAAAATTAGTCCAAACTTGTCTGAATATTGTAAAATATTTAAAATCTAACATTCAATGTACAAGAGACCTGGGGTTGAGTTGTGTGGTCCCTTAGAAGGTGTTGCCCAAGAATAAATGCACTCCTTCCAAAGCAGCAGGGCCATCTGTGACTTTGGTTTTATCTGCTGGCCTGAGCAAGCATACAGAGCCTCAGTTCAGATCATGAGGAATGGTGGTGCTCCCACATTTCTTGTAGCATGTATGAATAATGCAGCCATCTGCTCCACCCAAAGTGACTCATAATCACATTCCAGTTCCTTTGGTTAAAATTCTCCTAATGATTTTCTCCACACCCCACCCCAACCCCTGCTTGTTGAGTAGTCTCTCTTGGTTACAACTTCAGAGTTGCATTATTTAGTTACTGAAGTGGTCTGAAGTCACGGGATTATATCCTAGTTTTACCAGCAGTAAATGACTTCCAGGTCATTTTACATGCTTACTCAAGTAGTAAATTAATCTATCAGTCAACATTTATGAAGCACCCACTATGTGCTAGGATACAAAAAGAGGTAGAAGACAGTACTTGCCCTCAAGGAGCTTCCAATCTAATGGAGGAGACTATATTCAAACAAATATGTACAGAGCAATCTATATACAGGATAAATAAGGGATAATTAACAGGGAGAAGGCACTGGAATTAAGAGGGGTTGGGGAAGGCTTCCTATAGAAGGTGAGATCGTAAAGGAAGCCAGGGAGGTCAGCAGTCAGAACAGAGCAAAGCAAGTGTTCCAGGCATGGGAGACAGCCGAGAGAAAATGACCAGAGCTGAGATGTGTGTCTTGTTCATGGAACAGCCAGGAGTCCAATGTGAATGGATCAAAGAATACTTGCTGGGGAGTAAGGTATAAGAAGACTGGAAAAGTAGCAGTGGCATAGATTATGAAGGGCTTTGAATGTTAAACAGAGCAGTTTGTATTTGGTGCTGGAGGCAGTAGGGAAGTCACTGGAGTTTACTGAGTTGGGAGGAGGGGGCTGTCACATGATCGGACCTATGCTTTAGGAAAATCACTTTAGTGACTGAATGGAGGTTGGATTAGAGTAGAGAAAGATTTGAGAAAGGTAGTCTCACCAACAGGCTATTGCAATAACATTTTTGTGATTTACATATTTTTGGCTGGAAGGAGATGATGGATGTAGAATTTATTTTCTAAACAAGAGGAATGACCTTACTCCAAGTTTAAGAAGAAAAGCAATGCTATGAGTAGAATCATTGTTACACACTCTGTTTTTAATCATCATTTTTCAAGCAAGTTTTTTTTCGAATACTATACGTGTAAACAAATTCTTTAAATATTTATCCTGCCTCAACTCCTCAATAATTCATTTGTTTGTCATATAATTCAAAAGGCTTTCATGGTAAGATTACAGAAATATGAAGGGTGCTTGTTATTTCCACTTTAACACACTCGAGAGACAAGAATTGATCAACCTATCTAGGCTTGTAATTGAGTAGTTATTGATCTTATATGAAGAGATAAAGGATTTTTCTCTGTTTGCTTTTAGGATGCATACTTGTTTAAGTGAAAAGACAAAATGATTATTCACAAAATATTCATACTAGGCTCTTGTTCCCTGCCTCTTCCCTCTTTCTTTAGAACCAAAGTAACTATATCTAAAATTTTACTTTAAGCCTTAAATTTTTATTTCTTAAGAATCAGTTTCCCCTAATTCCTTCCTTCCTCATTTTTTTTTCAGATGCTATTTATCAATTTGATAACCTAAAGAGTCAGGTTGAGTTGGGAATAACAATAGCACCTGTCTTACAGGGTTGTTGTGAAGATCAAACGAAACAGTATTTGTGAAAAGGCTTAGTCCAGTGACCAGCACATGGTGGACATTATGTAAAAGCTTATTCATCTCTCCTCCCCAGTAAATGAAACTATCTTCTACGACATTGGTTCTTAACCTCTGTGTGTGTGTGTGCTGAACCTTTTTGGCAGTCTGGTAAACTCTGTGGGCCCCTTCTCTTAACAATATTTTTAAATGCATAAAGCCAAATATGTTGAAACACAACTATCAAAATATTTTTTTTAAAAAAAACTTACAAACCCCAGGTTAAGAAACACTGTTCTAAGATTAGGTGCACCTTCCCCAAATGCCAAACCTACCACTTGACAGTAGCTTAGAAACATTGGTTTCTCATTTACAGAGAATGCTACAGGGGTGAAGAGCGAGCGGCCTTGAGGCCCCATGTGGTCCTCTAGGGTCTCCAAGGACAGCCCTTTGACTGAATTCAAACTTCACAGAGCAAATCCCCTTAATAAAAGGATTTGTTCTGTAAAACTTGGACTCACTCAAAAGGCCTCATCCAAGGACCTAGAAGGCCACATGTGACCTCGAGGCTTGCAGGCTCCCCACCCCTAAAGAGATCCCTTTTCTTTATTTAGTGACTAACACGTTTGGCATATAAGATGCCCAAAGTCAAGATTTAACCACATAGGAAGGGGCTAGGATACACAGGATGCCCTTGCCGATTGAAAAATAACAAGAACTGCTTATTAAGCAATGCATTTTAATTCAAACTTTAGATAAGACTGTCTCTGTTGTTAGAAAGCTTACAGTCTAGTCAGTGATGTACTGCAGAGATTCTGTGCCTAATTCTTTAGCAATTCCCTGTCCAAACTGTAAAATAGAAATAATATTTGCCACTTAGTTCACACTTGGTAGAAATGAAGAAATCTACTGAATTGAGATCTTGAGATGTTTAATATTCTATAAGCACAGTTATCGTTTGCATGAATATGCAGGGGAGGTGTTATGGTTATACCTAAATTCTCATTATGAAAGACTTCAAATTCCTGTCTGGAATGGTAAAAAGAAATGTTCAAGTTTAAGATATATTAAAGAAAGAATCATTCTTATGAATGGAATAGTGGCAGAAGATTGAATCAAGACAGTGAATGTAAGCTTCTTGAAGGCAGTAACTGTTCCATTTTTGTCTTTGTATACCCAACGTCTAATATAGTACCTCATACATAGTACTTACCTTATATATATTTATTTAATTGAATGGAATACTGGCCTGCAGGATCAAATAAGGTCAAAATGAAACTAATGAAATCATAGATTTAAATTTGAAAGGTGCCTTAGAGGTCATCTAGTCAAACCCACTTATTTAGCAGATGGGGAAACTGAGTCACACATAAAGGAAATAAATTGCTCGCGGTCACAGAAGTGAACCAGAATTTGACTCTACCTCCTGATTGTAATTCCAACATCCTTTCCTCTGTAGAAAGAGAAACTAATTTCCCAGAAGAGGAGCATAGTTTTCTTTTCCATACTATCATTTTTACTGATAAATCTTCAAAAGCTTCAACTGTAGGTATTCCCTTAGCTCCCTTCATAGTGCTTCACATGCAATAGGAATTAAAGAAATGGAAAATGAATAATTCAATGAAACATAGGTTAATGGATAGAGCATAGGAACAGCAGAATAAAAAAAAAAGTTTAGTTTTTTTCCATCAAGGTGTGACTTAATCATGTTTATTTTTCCAATAGGTCAAGGTGACTTCGATTTAGCAGATGCACTTGATGATACTGGTAAGTAACTGTCTTACCAAAGAATATAGAACTCTAGTGTCCTAGGCTGAGAGTATGAAGATACTTCAGGGGTCATTAAATACAACAGCCACAAATCATAGATCCAATCAGTTTGTCAAAAGTTGTCATCTTTTCCACTCCCATTGTGATAGTCTAATGGACATCAGTGCTTGGTTTTGAATCTCAGGATGCAGGAAGTGACCACACAAGACTATTCCATAGTTACAGAGTGAAGCAAGAGTTAATGAATGAATGTCCAGAAATGGGTGGAAATGAGCCTCCTCTTTGAGTGAGTGAAGTTGCTGCAGGTTCATTGCAAGCTGCCATAAGCTGAATATCCTGGGTACCAGTTTCCAGATTCTGGTGGTTATATTAGGCTCCATCTGTCCAGACATTCAAAGCAGCATTCAGCAGAGCCTTTGCTCAAAGATCTTAAAGGCTGCAGTATAGGGAGATGATTTTTACCTCTCAGGGACCAGGTGGAGAAGTACTGACACAGCTTTTGTCCTCCTCCTACCCTACCCCACATTGCAGTTCTCGGAGGGTAGATGAATAAAATCGAGTTTCTCATCTTGCTTGAAAATTTTTCATTGTTTCAAGGAATGGTCTCTACCTGACATCCTGGTGATTATGGAGTTAGTCAGTCTGCTGACCTCTAAACTTTCTTCCATCCACAGGCTTACAGCAGCCTTCTCAAATCAAAGTCATGTCGTCATCTCCCTGATGTCATGGTCCACTTCAAGAACAAATGACAAACCACACAACAGCCTACAACAGCCTTCTAACTTCTTTCCAGACTCTAATATCTCCCCACTCCAATCTATCTTAAATACTCTTTGGGAGTAGGGGTGGGGTGAGGTGGAGTCTGGATCTATGATTTCATTGGTACAGGAAAATTCCTTGTCCAATGCAGATCAATAATAGTCCTACAACTTTTGGTCTTAGAGAATTCCCTGATGATACAAAGAAATTAAGTGACTTGCCCACAGACACCTTAGACGGTATATGTTAATGATGGGAATTAAATTTAGATCTTCCTTACGCTGGGCCTGGTTCTCTAACCACTATGCACTGTGTCTTGGCTTCCTAAATGATTACTTTGATCATGACTTGCCTTTGCTCAAAATCTGTCAGTGGCTTCCCATCATCTATTAAATCAGCAGTACAAAGAGGCCTTTGATTAGGGCTGCACTTGAGAACCTAGAAGACCACATGTGACCTCGAGGCCCCAGGATCCCCACCCCTGTACTAAATGAAGTACAGACTCCTTTTCTGGCATGTAAGGTCCTCCATGATCTAGTCTCAACATACTTTTCCAGAATTATCTCCCCAATTTCCTTATCATACCCTCTATTCCAGTCAGTTGGACTAGTTATTCTCCAGAGAAGAAGGAAGCAAAGGTAGGTGTGAGTGTGCCTATTTCTGAGCTTGCAAAACAAAACAAAACAGAAAAAAACAAGAGTTCATAGAAAGCACCAGCCTGTCACCCTATCTGCACTAGAGGCAGAATGAGCTGACCTGAACAGCCTTTATTCTCTAGTTTTACATCTGCTTTCAGGATACATTTTATATAGATACTGTCACCTCTCTTTTTCCATCATGCTCACCATGTTTTCTTTTTGTTTTGTTCCTGTCCATTCATTTGAACTTGTAGTCATTGATATCTTTTATACACAATCAGTTGGATTCTTTGCCCCTCCCTTTTCCCCAATATTAATCAGTTTATTACATAGTTTATTCAAGAGCCACAGCTTGAAGATTACTGTAGAAGGTAGAGAAGGACCTTCTCTGAGGTCACTTTATAGACTATATTCTCCCAAATTATAGATTGTAAAATACAGACTAGCCCTGAATGCCTTTATTGGCTTTTTATCCCTTTCAAGTTTTTTTTTTTTAATGCTTGGTAGAATTCTTTTATAGATTGCCAATTCCTATGGAATAATTTCATGCCCCCATAGCTGAGTCTGTTACATTTTGTTTTTCTTTCTGCTGACTAAGAAATTCATCATGGTCAGGCCCATAATTAGCCAGGTACAGGCAATGATCTTCTTGGGGAGGAAAACAGTGGTGTCTTAGATTTCTTTTTCTACTTTTCCTAATCTTTTCCTCTTCTCCCAGTTATTCACTTTGGAGCAATCAGGTGCTCATATGAGGTCTCTATCTCTCAGATGTTCAGAGGAGGCCTTTATCTCTCAGATGTTCAGATGGGGTCTCTATCTCTTTGTCTCCCGCCCCCTCTCTTCATCCCCCTACCCCCCAATTAAGTCAAAATCTCTATTATCGTTGTTGCCTCACCTTTAAGGACAGGAAAAAAGATTTTTTCCTAGGACTTTCCCACAAATCTGATCTGCCTGTGGTTGCCAGTCTATGTTTATTGTGGTAAATATAGAATGAGGATGTGAGAAAACAAAGCTACAACAATAAAGCCTTATGAAGCATACTCTTTCTTGGATAGTATTTATTCTGTATTCTATGAATTCATGGATTTGATGTTGTCAACTCAATTTTAAAAATCATTAAATTGATCTTCATAAAGCTAGTTCTGTTGAAATCATTATATGTATTATGTGGGTATATATATATACATACTTACACACATGTACATATATACACATATTACATATACATACGTGTGTGTGTGTGTGTATTTGGCAAGCTCTGGCTCACTCTTCCAGAGAAAGGCTGGGTACATCCACCCATTCAGGTTTGAGGAGTATCCTGAGGCCTTTGGGGGATGTCTTTTCTCTGCTGCTGTCTGCTAAAATCCCTCTGTTATGTCCTTCCTACTGTTAGGTGCCAGTGAGTAGCTCCCAGCTCCATTTTAGCACTTGACAACAATTAGTTTTTATAAGGCATATTTAATTCAAAGCTATAAGCAAGAACCAAAATACAAACATTTTCCCCGCACTACCTCAGGGAACACTTCTATCCCACATAGGTCTCTAGGGAGAACTGGATCACTCAACACAGTTTCTCCATAACAATGGTCCCACCAAGTTCCTATCCAGATGATTCATGACTACTAGATGAATCTCTGTATCAGTAATCACTGAGCTGGGTCCCAAAAGGTCAATTCTTGGTTCTTGGGGCATCCAGGATGAGCTGATTGGAAATCCTGATATAGAAATGCTGGAACATCCAGGCACTGGAGCTCCTGGACACTCAGTCTGCTGATCTTAAGGTCACAGTAGCTCATTTAATATCCTTCACCTAAAACTGAAATAAATACTGAGGCAGGCAAAGAACCTAGGTCCATTTTCATAGGGCCATATGGCCTCTGAGAGAAGGTCCAATGCTTCTCCCCTTATGGCACAGTTTCTTACCAGACTCTGCCAGGTAAGGAGTTAAACTATAAGAGTGCAGCGGAAAAGAAGAATGAGCCAAAGAGAAAATGTTACTAGTTACTAGTCCTTCTTGAATCCTCTGCAATCAATCAAAGTACCTCCTATCCTCTTACTGGAAACATCTGTGGCACAGAATGTCTATGCTCCAAAGTCTCTCCAAGGCATCTCTATTACACATCATGTGACTCTCCCAGAAACAGGCTCTCCAGCTCCTCCCATGGGATGGGAAACACTGTCAATATTTTCTGTGCATGTGCCTCTCCTTCTGTGTGTGTGTGTATGTATGTATGTGTATATATGTGTGTGTGTGTGTATATATATATATATATTTATATATGTACATGTGTGTATTTAAATGACTGCTGCCTTACAGAGAATTTTATTACAGGAAGGAACCTTATTGATCACCTGTAAAATGAATTGTATTAGATTAGGCTGCTAGGTGGTACAGTGGATAGAGCCTGGATTGGAATCAGGAAGACCTGAGTTCAAATCCTGCCTCAGACATTTACTGGCTCTGTGATGATGAGCAAGTCACTTAATCTCTTCCAGGCTCAGTTTCCTCATCCTGAAAACACGATAATGACACAGATAATAGAATCTACCTGACAGGGTTGTCATGAGGACTAAATGAGATAATACTTAATATGCTTTGTAAATTTTGAAGTACTACTGTTGTTATTATTAGATATGGAAAACAAGTTCCAGATAATTATAAGTAATTTTCAAAAATCACACTTCTAGTTAGAGGAAGAATATGGTCTAGAACCCAGGTCTTTTCACTTCTAGTCCAAAGTCCTTTTTTTATTTCACTCTTAACGCAATCACAGAGATTGGCTTTAAGACAATAGCTATCATCAATAGCCTTAACAAAGATAACAACCTCTCTCAAACTCTGAGACAGCCCAAAGGAAGTAGAGGAGAGCAGGGTGCGGAAATAGGCTGGTGTGAAAATGGACTGATTATACCACAGTGGCACAGCTCTATATTTTTGAAAGAGGAAGATAAAGAGCAGCACTGAAACAAATTTGTAGCAACATTAGTTTGTGCCAGAATAGTGCAAATGGGATGCTCCCTAGTGGTTTGCCCTGTGCAGATGAACAGGGAATGTTCCCTCAGTGCATTTGTCTTTTTGTTATCTATAGATTTCTGAGTAAGTCTTCAATTAAAATAACAAAGGGGTTATCAAGCACCTACTATGTTCTACGCACTGTGCTAAATGTTGAGAATACAAAAATGTTCCTGCTGTAAAAGTGTTTGTACAGGGAGTAAAACAAACAAAAAATTATGGGGAGGGGGTGGGTAAGCACTAACAAATGAAGGCAGGGTCAGAAAAGACCTCTTGTAATAGGTTGCACTTGAATCGAACCTTGGAAAAAGTTGGAAGAGATCCAAGAGACCAAGGTGAGGAGAGAGAACATTTTAGGCATGAAAAGAGCAGGGGCAAAAGGCACTGAGGTGAGAAATAGAATGATGTGTTTGGGGAGCTGCAAATTGCCTGAAGTCTTAGCTACAGAATTTGGGAACACAGAACTAGAAAAGGAACCTCAGAGGCTATCTAGTTCCACCTTTTCCCTCATTTTACAGGTGAGGAAATTGAGGCACAGGAAGCACAAGTGACTTTCCCAAGGTCACACGAGTAACCTAAAGCTAGATTTGAACTCAGGTCTCTAACTCCAGAACAAAAGATCTTTCTACTGTACAATACAGAAAAAACTAAAAGATTTGGCTAATTATAATTTCACATCAAAAAAGAGTTAGGTTGATTATAATTTTGCATCAAAAAGCCAGCAACAGCTTCCTTCTTGGGAGCATATCCTGAGTCCTTCCTGTTGGGTCTGCTTATATTATTCTACCTTTACTTTCCCTCAAGAAAGGAAGGCTAGGCTGTCAATAACCAATTGGCCTCAGTCCACCACAGCGTTAGGACAGTTTCTCAGGGACATAAGTAAGGATGTGATTTCAGGGCAAGCAAACAACCTTGTCTCCAGTATTCTGTTATATCTATATATCTATGTCTACACAAGCACAGTATTCATTATGCATGGATATCTCTACTCACATATACATATATACACATATAGTGTACTCACATACATTTGTGTATATAACATATATGTATATACATTAAAGGCTACAAGACTCTGAACACCCCCAATGTAGACTCTAATATGAGGGAGAAACATCAGAACGTGTCCTTTTGACATAGGTTTGCCAAGCTTCTCTAACTTAGTCCTCTGCTCCAACTTAACTGCACTAATGTACAAAACCATAGAGTCTCAGATTTAGAAAGGACCTTAGAACTCATCTGCTCCAATCCTGTCCTGATCAAGAATACCCTAGAATCTAGACAATACCAGAAAATGGGTAATCTACTTGAAAACTACTTATTTGAATACTGACAAACTCAATTTTTAATTATTTCAATCTCAATCTCTCTCTCTCTTTTTATTGTAGATGAAATTACAAGGAGACCTAACCCAGTTACTAAGAAACCAGGATCAGGTGGGTTATATCTTTAACTGGTTGAAAACATCTTAAACTGTAGTGTGTGTGTGTGTGTGTGTGTGTGTGTGTGTGTGTGTATGTATATGTATTTGTATAATACACACACACACACACACATACGGTTTGTGCTAAACGAGGGTACAATTGTTTAGTCACATATCTAGGTTCAATTTTTCTAGCAAGATGTAAATTAAAATTAACTTAATGGATACTAAATACTTAATAAACAGCTAGGTGATACAGTAAATAGAGTGCTGGACTTGGGGTCAGAAGACCGTGAGGAATTCCAATGAAGAGAAACTTAAATCATCTGGAGGCAGTCCTGACTACTTTGGAATAGCACTAATTATTATAGGCTAGAATTGATATGATGCTTTAAACTTTGCAAAAACACTTTACATATATCATATTTTATCCTCACAACAACCTTGAGATATAGATGCTATTATTATTCAAATCTAACTTTAAAAACTTATTAGCTGTGCAACCCTGGGCAAGTCATTTAACCGTGTTTGCCTCAGTTTCCTCATCTGTAAAATGGGCTGGAGAAGGAAATGACAAACCACTTCAGCATCTTTACCAAGAAAACTCCAAAAGGGGTCACAAGGAGTTGGATGTGACTGAGAAAGACTAAACAACAAATGGATTCTTAATAAAAATAGTAGCCAGTGCTGATAATGTCTAGTGGTCTAAGCAAGTCCACAAGTCCACAAGCATTTATCAAGCTGTGCCAGGAATGTACCAGGTATAGGGATAAGCAAATACAAGCGAAAAAAGAGAGTGTTTCTGCCTTCAAAAAGCTTACATTTTAATGAAGGAAGACAACACATAAAAAGAAACTGACAATGAAGTTAGGGAAAAAAATACCAGTGTGGAGGCATGGTGGAAAAAGAGATCTGGAAGGTCAGGAGCAGAGCCCAGAGAGGAATAAGAAGTGAACATGGCTGGCCTAGGAATTTTCCTTAAAATGGAGGTTCTAGGAGGAACTTGACCAATCACAAGAAGAGGCCACAGGGAGAAGATAATCTTTTAGGGTGAAAAGGTAGTCTGGGTCATGACAGAGAGATCCAGACAGTCAAGAACAAAGCCCAGAGAGCAATGAAGGATTGAACAATGAATGATCTTGGGAACAAATAAGGCTTAAAAAGAATTTTTAGTTAATCAAGAACTCAGAGCTGTAATTCTAGATCCATTTCTGTCTCCTGAATATCATAAGGTCAATTCACCTCAAACTCAGTTTCCATAGTTGTAAATGAGGATATAAAGATACATGATGGTAAAAACCCTTTGAACAGAGAACATTCTCTCTCTCTCTGTCTCTCTCTCTCTCCATCTTTTCTTCCTCTCTTTCAAATAACTGTCTATATAGTGTAGAATTTTAGACTTAGAAATTACAATCACAGAACCTCTGAGGGACCTCATTGATGGGACAAGTAGTCTAAGTTATACCTGGATAAGAGCTTCATCTTTAGCATATACCTGACAAACAGTTATCTGGCCCTTCCATGAAAAATTCCAGTGAAGAGGAACTTAAATCATCTGGAGGCAGTCCTGACTACTTTGGAATAGCACTAATTATTATAGCTAGAATTTATATGGTGCTTTAAGTTTTGCAAAAGCTCTTTACAAATATTAGCACATTTTATCCTCACAACAACCCTGGGGTATAGATGCTATTATTCCCATTTTATCTATGAGTAACCTGAGGCAGACAGAAGTTAAGTGGTCACACAGCTAGTAAGTATCTAAGGCCATATTTGAACTCAGTTCTTCTTGACTCTAGGTCCAGGCTTCTATCTGCGTGCCACCTAAGTGATCCAAGATACTTAGGCAATTTTTCATCATATAAAGCCTAAATCACCTCTTTGCAATTTCTATCCATTATTCCTTGTTCTGCTCTCTGGAATTAAATAGAAATCTAATCTTTTTACCATAAGAAAGTCTATGAAATATTTTCAGACTGCTGTCATGTTCCTTCTAAGACTTCTCTTCAGGCCGGACATCCCTAGTTCCTTTCATGAAGCCTCATATGGCATGATCTTGAGCCTTTATTCTTATTGCCTTCCTCTGGACATATTCCAGTGTTTCAATATTTTGAATATGCCTAGTATAATCTAACACAATATCCCCAGTGTAGTCTAACCAGGGAAGAGTACAGTAGAACCGTCATTGTTGATATCAAGAATTATTCAACTAGAAAATTTTATATAAACATATATGTATATATGCATATATAATATGCACACATATATATGTGTACATGTGCATGTGCTATATGTGTGTAGAGATACAGGGTGTGCTATATGTGTATAGAGATATATATGCATATAGCGTGTATGTATAGACATAGATACATAGATATAACAGGATGTTGGAGACAATGTTGTTTGCCTACCCTGGCATCACTTCCTCACTTATACCCCTGAGAAATTATCCTACCCCTGTGGGGGACTGAGACCAATGGTTATTGATAGTCTAGCCTTCATATTCCGAGGGAGATGAAAGGTAGAAGCCACAGTCAGACATAAACTTGGGGAGTCAGGGGACATGGAAGAGAATGGACGTCACCCTAAGAAACTACAAAGGTAAAGAGCCTTAGGCTCTTTACAATGGGCTTAAAGGACACTAACTGAAGTATGTGATTGGGCCATTGAGGAGTCATGGAGTTGATTCTGGGTTTGCTGAAACTGTTTGAATTGCTGAAGTCCAGGCTATTGATTCCTCATGCTCATCCTCTGTCACATACTGTTGCCCTCTTAGGGCTGGGGGGTGGGGGTGGGAGTGGAGTACTTAATCATTTCCGAGCACAAGGTCTTTCAGCACTGAACCAGCACATGTGATTCTCCAGAAAGGGCCTCACAAAAAGCGTGAGCCTACTTCCAAGGGTTAACTTTAAATTAATTATAGAGAGATGTCTGTCTCTGTTTTAGGATTTTCCTAACGGGACTCAGAGCTTTTGTGATTGAACTCATAACTTTTTATCTAAAGTAGACTCCCTAAAAAAAAACAAACAAATTATAGAAAAAGGAACCACATGGACCTCAGGGGCCACTATATCACCCCCTAAACTTAAAATGAGCTAATTTTTGTGTGATTGTAATTATTTGCCTCTCATTTGAGCCTCACAACAACCCTGTGAGGTATTATTTTCCCTACTTTATAGACAGGGAAACTGAGGCTCAGAGAGGTCAAATGACTTGTCCATCCTCACAGAGCTAGTAAGTGTCAAAAGCTGAATTCAAACCCATATCTTCCTGGTTCCAAATCCTATACTCTTTTGCCTACATACTAACTCTCTAAAGACACAAAGAAATAAATCCTGTCTTCCACATTACAGCTGTTTATTTACTTCAATGCAACTATCATACCTTGTTCTGAATTCAAATGAATGCAATTTAAGATTAAAACAGCTTTCAAAGTATATTTTTGCATTACCTTCTTTTATTTTAAATTATTATTTGGTAAACTGTCCCCCCATCAGATAGAGGTTGAAATGCTCCTAACAAATTTCTCTTTTAACCTGATTTATTAAAAAAAAAATCAGCCAGTAAATAAACATTCATTAATTGCCCACTATGCTGGGCACACCAAAAAAAAGGCAAACAATAGTTCTTGTCCTCCAGGAATTTAATGAGAGAAAACTACATGAAAACAACTATGTACAAACAAAGTATTATAGAGAGTAAATTGGAAATAATCAACAGAAGGAAAGCATTATCATTAAGAGGGATTGGGAAATGTTTCTGCTGGAAGTTGGGATTTTAGTTGGGACTTGAAAGAAGCCCCGGAATCCAAGGGTCAGAAAAGAGGAAAGAGAGCGTACCAGGCATGGGGGTCAGCCAGTGAAAATGTCCTACAGTTGAGAGACGCTGGTTCTTTTGTGAAGACCAACAAGGAAGCTAGTGTCACTGGATCATAGAATAAGTGGGAGAGGGAGGGGATGCGAAGTGTAAAAGAAATGAAAGGGTTGGAGCAGGGGGTGGGGGGAAGGGGGGTGGACACAGGTATGAATGTCTCTGAATGCCAAACCAAGGATTTTATACTTGATCCTGGAGGTAATAGGGAGCCACTGGAGTTTATTGAGTGGGGAGTGGGGTTGGGAGGAGGGATATGATCAGACCTGTGATTAGGAAGATCACTTTGATAGATGAATGGAAGATGGACTGGAGTGGGTAGAGAACCGCCAGCAGGCTATTGCAATAGTACAGGCCTAGGGCCTGCACTAGGCTGGTGGCATTGGCAGAAGAGATATACATAAAATTTCCCAGAAACATGTCAAACAATGAAGGTAAAATTCTTAAAATCCTTCAAAAAGTAGCTATCAAATGCCTGATGTAGCCTTAAGCCATGTGCTAGGTGCTGTTTGGGATATAAAACTTATATTTAAAAATATATATTTTCTGTCCTCAATACATGACTCCTTTGGTGATGAAATGGCTAGCCTATTTTACTTTTAGTTAATTAAGACTGAGGGGACTCTCCAAAACAGGCTAATTCAAGGAAACAATAACCCGTTGTAGAAGAGGAGAAACCATCATTTATTATCAAAAAAGGCTTATATAAAGATACTGGCACAGTGGATAGAGCACTTGACTTGGAGTCAGGAAGACTCATCTTCATGAATTCAGATCTGGCCTCAGATGCTTACTAGCTGTGTGACTTTGACCCTGGGCAAGTTATTTCATCCTGTTTGCCTTAGTTTCCTCATCTGTAAAATGAGCTGGAGAAGGAAATGGCAAACCACTCCAGTATCTTTGCCAAGAAAACCCCAAAGGAGGTCGCAAAGAGTCAGAAACAACTGAAATGATTCAACAACAGCAATAACATAACACACAGATGGAAAAATAAATGTATAAAAATAATTTTTCACTAGAATAATTGATTTATAGAATCTCAGCACAAGGCAGCACCTCAGAGGTCATCTAGTCCAATTCATAACTGAACAGGAATCCCCTCTACAACATACCAGAGAAGGATTCATTTAAGATTAAGGGAAG